TTGTCTTCGACCTTTGATTGATGAGTTGGCACAGTTGTGGTCCTTCGGAGCTCTGACTTATGATATATCGAGGAAACAAAATTTCCTTATGAGGGCGGCTTTGATGTGGACTATCAATGATTTTCCAGCTTATCGAATGCTTTCTAGTTGGAGCACGCATGAGAAACTCGCATGTCCATACTGCATGGAAAACAACAAGTCATTCACGCTAACAAATGGAGGCAAAGCTTCTTTTTTTTACTGTCACCATCGCTTCTTGCCACTTAATCATAGGTACAAAAAGAACAGAAAAGATTTCTTTGTTGGCAGAGTTGAAAAAGATGTTGCATCCCCGCATCTTTATGGTGAAGAATTGCATGATGTTGTCTCAGAGTACGGTGACATTGTGTTTGGCCTTCAATCAGGTAAGCAAAAGTTTCCTGGTTTTGGTTTGACCCATAATTAGGTAAAACGAAGTATATTTTGGGAGCTTTCTTATTAGAAGACCAATCTGCTCCGTCATAACCTTGACGTCATGCACATCGAAAAGAACATGTTTGAGAACATTTTCAACACCGTCATGGATATGAAGGGGAAGACAAAGGACAACATCAAGGCTAGATTGGATATGGCTTTATACTGTAACCATAAAAATATGGAGTTGGTTTATGATGAGTCACGGGTCGCAAAACCAAGAGCAAGCTTCCTGTTAGAGAAAAACGCACAACTACTAGTTTACAAAATGGCTTAAGAGTCTGTGTTTTTTGGATGGACATGCATTGAACATATCCCGGCTAGTTAATGTAGAGGACTACAGATTGTATGGAATGAAGAGTTATGACTGCCACGTGTTTATGCAAACACTCATCCCATTAGCTTTTCATGATTTGTTGCCAAAGGGAATATGGGATGCACTCATGGAGACCAGTCATTTCTTTATAGATATATGCTCCAGCAAGTTGAATGTTGATCACATTGAGAGGCTTCAAACGAATATCGTTGAAACACTATGCAAACTTGAGATGATATCCCCTCCATCATTTTTTGACTTAATGGAGCATCTCCCTATACATCTACCGTTCGAGGCAAAAGCTGGAGGACCGGTCCAATATAGATGGATGTACCCATTCGAACGGTTAGATATTACAGTTGCAATGTAATTCATATATAAAAGTATTTTGTATGTTTTTTTTAATTGAAAATACTTGATTAATATTTCAATACAGGTACTTGTTTAATCTCAAGAAAAAGGTTAAGAACAAGGTGCATGTTGGGGCCTTAATATATGAGGCCTATATTGTTGAGGAGATCTCAACATTTATCTCGTCTATTTCGAACCTCATCTGAGAACGAGAATCAATCGCATTCCCCGGCATGATGATGGCGGTGAAGTGCCTTCCAGTGGGAACTTGTCAATATTCTCCAATACTAGACGACCCATACCTAAAAATGCCGTAAGAGGAAGATATTTGTCAGAAATAGAGTTCAAACAAGCATACAACTACGTTCTATTTAACTATGATGAGCTGAGACCTTTTATTCAGTAAGTTTATACTAATTAAACTTTGTTAGTAATATACTGTTAATTATATATTGTAATATCATACACTCATTATCACTTGTAGGCAACATCGATAATATTTGCTCTCCAATAACTCACAGCTGACTGAATCCCAGATCTTTCAATTACAAGATGAGCAGTTTGCCACGTGGTTCAGAACACATGTAAGCACTATCACAAACTCATTCTAACTTGCAAAATTACTGTACATATGTATGTCATTACGAGATTCTCGTTCATTTATTGTTTATTGATGTATATTACATACAAGGTTTATCAAATGGGAAGGAGTGCACCTAAGTCATTGTCTTCAGTGAGCTTGGGGCCTGAAAGAAAATGTAAGTGCTACAACAGGTATTTTATCAATGGATATATTTTTCATACTGAAGAATATGGGAAAGGAAGAAAGACATACAACAACGGTGTTTGTGTTAAGTGATCCACTAGTAGTGAGTTAGAAGTTGACTACTATGGTAGATTAGAGGAGGTCATCGAACTGCAATATTATAACGAGCAGAATAAAGTGTTTTTATTCAAATGCTATTGATATGACACGACTGACAGAGGAATCAGAGTTGATCCGCACTATGGTCTGGTCGAAATCAACTCAAAAGCTAGACTCCGAACATAAACGATGTCTTTGTTCTTGCAAAGCAATGTCAACAAGTTTATTACACATACACCCCTTCATTTAGAAAGGATCGATCAAGAGTGGATTGGTTGTCTGTTTTAAAAACGAAATCCCGGGGTTGTGTCGAGGTTGTTCAGGATGAGAATGAAGACATAAGTGTGCGAGATGAAGTCTTTCAAGTTAGTGAGGTGGTTGAATCATATCGAGTTGCTCCTTCGATTGAATTGGAAGAAAATTCAAATTTTCATGTTTTCGATGATAGTCTTGTTGATGTTGACGCAGAGGAGTTGAATTTTGTTTTAAGCTCTAACAGACAAGCAACTGTCGATGAAGAAGATGGTATTCATATTGAAGATTGTGATGAAGGTGATGACAATTCAATTGATGACGATGAAGAAGAAAATTCTGACTAACTACCAAAATGAAACCCTATGTAAAACCCTTTTTTTCATGTAATTTAAATTATGGATGATATATTTTGAAACACAAAATATTTATTACTTGAAATAATTAGTTGAAATGTCACAATTACGAAATAATTATTGATCATGAATGATATATTTTGTAACATGAAATAATTACTGGAAATGCCACCCAATCACCGACGGCAACACTAACGACCACAAGGCCGTCGAAATTTCACAAAGAGTTCAAAAATAATTACTGGAAATGCCACCCCATCACCAACGGCAGGAGCGATGGAAACAAGGCCGCCGACATTTCACAAAGAGTTAAAAAATAATTACTGGAAATGCCACCTCATCACCAACGGCAAGTGCGATGGAAACAAGGCCGTCGCCATTTCACAGAGAGTTCGAAAATAATTACTGGAAATGCCACCCCATCACCGACTGCAGGTGCGACGGACACAAAGCCGTCAACATTTCACAGAGAGTTTGAAAATAATTACTGGAAATGCCACCCCATCACTGATGGCAGGAGCGACAGAATTGAGTCCGTCGAAAATGTGCCAGCGGGTCAATTTTAGCGACAAACTTACTGACGGACTATGCGCATTTCAAAGTGTTGTACATTAAATGGATCTCTGACCGCGTCATATTGCCGACGGATTTACCGACGGACCGTGAAAAATATGGGGGACATTAAAAATTTTGGTGCGAAATTCAAAATTTACCGATGGATTTTTACACCTTACCGACGGAATAAATTAAAAATAATAATTAATTTTATATCCATCGGTTAGTCTGTCGGTAAAACTAGCATATATTCGTCGGTGAATCCGTCGGTAAAACTGCCATATAAGTGCCCCCGTCCGCCTCTTCAATTCATTTTCTCTCCTCCAAACTTCTTCACCTTTCTTTTCCTCTCTGTTCTGATCTCCCTTCTTCAACGACGATGTCAAGCTTTTTTTGTGGTGAATCTCCATCAATTGAAAAGGTTAGTGTTTCTTCTTTTTCATTATACTTTAATGGTTTTTTTTTTGCTATTTTTTTGCTATGTTTTTTGTTTTGGTGTATTTTTTGTAATGTAGATAAAATCCGTAGTTTTTGTTTGCATAATTCATTGCTAAAGTCTATAGTTTTTTTTTTTGAATTTATTGAATATTTTTTTATTGTTGTTTTGACATAATTATTATTAGTTAATTTGTTGAATATTTATTGTTAATGTTGAATTTATCTTAGGATTAGTAATTGAGTATGTTGGAATAATTATTAATTTTACTTTATTATTGCATGATTTGGGTTTAATTTTTTTGATTTATTTTGATTGTTATTCTAGATTTTTTTTTAATTTATTGTTTTGTTGTATTGGCATAATTATTGAATAATTTGTGGAATTGTAATTTTTAATATTGAATTTACCTTAGGATTATGAATTGAATATGTTTGAATAATTAGTTTAGATTGGGTAAATTGGTTGTGGCTATTGTTAATATGTGTAGGTTTGTGGATTTGGGTAGTATCCAGTATAGGGGAGGTGCTGTCGAATTTTTTTTTTATTTGAATTTAATTATATAATTATTTGTATAAAATTGTGTAGATGCGTAGATCGAAAACCAGAGCTGGTCGCTCATGTAAAGTCGTAGCTAGTTCGTCTAGTAGCGATGAAGATATCTCCTTAGGTGCCTCAGAAGAAGAGGCACCTACACCACCTGCGTCGTCTACCAATGCTGCCTCTTCCAGCGCTACTTCACAGCGTAGAGGCGGCGTGCCTTCGCAGTGGAATCAATTTACCCGCCAGTACGAGACACAGTGGAAGGATGACCTTTCAATGTAAGTTTGTTAAGGTTTTAGTTTTTTCTTTTTTATATTACAACATAATTTATGAAATAATCATTATTGAATTTATTTCATTTATTTTCAGGTTCACAAACATTGAAGCCGCCCGAGTAATATCATCAGCATTTAAATCGTCGATGGAGATTCCATTATTTTAGTGGAGTCAGATATCAAAGCATCCTGAATGGATGCCTCAAATAAATGCATGGTTTAACAGGTTTGAGGTTGGTATTAATTTATAATTTTCAGCTTATTAATTTAATTGTAAATAAATTATTATTTTTATCTAAACTTGTTCATTTATACACAATACAAATTCTGCTGGGATAGTGAGCATAACACTATTGTGAGGAGGGTGTGGGAAAATCACGCGGCAGCTAGGTAAGATCGAAAACAATACAAGATTTTTTTTAGACAAAAAATTATGTTTCGAAATGTAATTTTTGGTTGCGTGATTTTTGGTATGAAGTACAAAGAAAGGCAAAAAAAGCCGCGAGGGATAGGGGATTACAAAGCTGGAACGATGTTGCGGTTTGGAGGGATTTCAAAATGATATGCATCCCGGAAGATATATGGCTGCACTATATTGAGCACGTGACGTCTGAGTGGTTCACATGACGCTCACAGTCCAGTGTTAGCAACCGGAATCGGCCAATTCATGGCGGGGTGACAACGCACACTGGCGGCTTCGTTCTATTTGCTGCACATGCGAAACGGATGGTAAGATTAATTTAAATGAAATATATCATTAAATTCAGTTGTTGTTAATATATCTTTTTTCATTATAGGTTGCATCTTTTGGACGTGAGCCGAGCCCGATGGAGTTGTTTGTGGAGACGCACGTGCGGAGTCAAGACCGCCAAAAAAGGGTGTAACAGTTCGTTGATAACCGTGCTCAACATTTCGTGGTATGTTTGTTCAACCATTTCATTTTGTAAGTTATTATGTTTATTGAATTGAATATGATGATAACTTGTTTTTTTTTTTTTTTTTTTTTTCAGGTGACCTATAATAATCAGTTGAGGGAGAGATATGGAGACGATATGTTGAACCATCCGGAATTCGATCCAGATTTATGGATGGAGGTTGGCTCCTCAGGTGGACCCGATAAAAATCGGGTTTACAGGCTCTCCAACGCTAAGGCCGACAACTTGTGGTCAACCCATAGTGTTTCAACTGTTGGGAGCTCCCAATCAATATCGAACTCCAAATCTAAGGAATTTGAGGCCTTGCAGCAACACACGGCTTAGCTCACCGAGAAATACGACCACCTATCAGCGGAGTACGTGCACCTCAAAGCGTCTCAAGAGCAATAAAAAGTGGAGTATGTTAGACAAAAAGTGGAGTATAAGCGACAAAAAACGGAGTATGAACAACAAAAAGCGGCTTACGAACAGCTCCGCGAAATGGTTATAAACATGGCAAATAGTGGAACATGTGCGTCTAATCCTTTTTGGTTGTATAACCACCAGCCTCCTCTAGGATCTCCTCCTCCTCCTCCAGCTCCACCTTTATATTAATTTGTAATAAACATTATTTAACATTAAAACTTCATTTAATATTTTTTTTGAAACATATTCAGTTTGTAATGAATATTATTTAACTTTGTTTTTTTTCTTTAATATAAATTTTATTTGCATAATTTATTTGTATTACAATTAATTTACACAGTTTTATATTATATATCCTAAATAATTTTTTGAAAACAAATTTAGAAAAAAAATTAGCAATGATTTCATACACTCACCGACCACATTGCCGACAGAATTACTCCATCAGCATTTAACAGTCGCTGCCACACTTACCGACTAATGTACAGACGAATATATTCGGTTGGTATTTCATACACTCACTGACCAACTTACCGACAGACAAACTCCGTTGGAATTTGATAGTAGCTGCCACATTTACCGACGAATTTATAGACGGGTGTATTCGGTGGGTATTTCATACACCCACCGACAGCCCTACCGACGGTTAGTGTTCGTCGATAAATCATGATATCACCGATGGAATACAAATCCGTCGGTATATTCAAGCGGGAATCTTTTTTTTTTTTGCTTGCAAATTCCGTCTGTAAAACCATCGCCAAATGATTTTTTTGTTTTTCCGACCGATATAACCACGGAATGTTGAATCACCGACGAAAGGTAACCCAACGGATTACATCCGTCGGTGATTGCGTTGGTAAAAAAATCACTGACGACCTTCTAATCACACACCGACGGAATATTTCCATCGATAAAACTGTGAAATCTTGTAGTGTGTGTTTCCCATATAACTTTTTCACTACTTAGAAGAATCTTTGATTTTAACATAAATCAAAACACCATAGATTGTTTTTTCCCAGACCTTTTTTTCTTTATTCACTAGATTTATAGATTATGATTTTCAAATTTTATAGTTGATTCAATTAATAATAACAAGAAGACTACGTTGCTCACCGGTTCCTCTGTAATTTGGAGGAAAAAAAATCTCCTATCATTTTCATAATATTTTTTGCTATTAGAAATAAGAGACTTTGAATGTTTCTTCAAACTATTTTAAGTCATGGATGCCGTATTCTTTAATATTTTGAATATTCGAATAATTCACGTGCAACACATATATCTAATTAAAAAATAGTGTATTATTAAGTTAATTTAAAATACGGGAACCATAATACGGGAACCATGCAATTTTTGTCATCAAACTATATATATCACCGTGATTTTTATTTTTTTTCCCTCCATGATGAACGGATTTTTGTAAACAGCACTTGCTAAGATTCTAGCTACCACTTCTTATTTGTATATAACGCTTGTCTGAGTATAAAGTTAAGAAAGAATTGCTTTGAAATTTGATCACGAGAGTGACAGCGTACTAATTCACAATCGCAGTTAGTTGTGGTGCATCTTGCTCCTCTTTATATATAGATGTTAGAAGGTATTTTCAAGGCTCTAGCTCTACAAAAGAAAGCTCTGATATCCATGTCGATACAAGAAGATTCATGAAAAAACTTACATCTTAGTGCATGGTTAATGGTTGGCAGGAAGTTTAGATCTTATTAGGCAATGAAAGAGCCTCCTTAACTATCAATTAAATTAAATTTGGAGAATTGATATGCAACCAAAACAGTTGGACAGCTTCTAAACCCACAAGTACTCCCTTTCTTTGTATAATTATCCAATGAATGTCCACTTAATTTGTTAATTAATGTCGAAACTTGTTTCTTGTTCATATTAAAGTCCAACAGGATTTCAACTATAGAATAAAAAGTAGTCATTTTCCATCTTTAAATCTCATATCCCACCATATCCAAAGCTTGAAATTGAGATCTTAACTGCTTCGCACTCTCTGCAGTGACTATAGGGTAGAATATATAGTCGAAAATACTACAAATTAAATTTAGTAATGTTGAAATGATGAACAGAAGATGAGTGCAGATGTTTCCCTTTTAGTTTCTGTAATTATTATTACTCTTTTTGGATGACGTAAATTCAAGGACTCTGGACAAGCTCCCCGTCCACACAATATCATTGATATTGAACGAATCTAGGTTTGGGTCCAGTAAATTGTTCGAATCATCCATCAAACATTACGGGATGTGAAAACTGTGCATAGATATATATCTTTTGATCAACGACCTGGCCGATATTGGCTACTTCAAATTCAAGTACCGTTGATTTATCTTAGCACAACTCTGGCTAATCAGCATTTGTAACACATTTTCTTGCAGCTGAAAATGTATATATAAATGTGCGTGACTGCGATGAAACCCTTGTGATTACTTGGTTGGTCAGTCTCCTAAGCCATATTAACTTTAGAAACAAGATTTTCACTATCAGATCTTCTAATAGAAGGTATAAATTGATAGGTTGATTAGTCCCATATACAGGGTTCCCTTATTATGTTGCCACCTGCAACATTATGCACTACAATCGGCCTGCATATATATAATCGTTGATGTGCAAGCTATGGAGAATTGTCACAGAAATCTTGAAAAGTGAAGATGCTTTTTGAGCTTATGTTGTAGAGAGGAAGAGAAAACAAAAAACATAAACGATATCCTGTCTGTCAGATAATATATTTATGCATAAGAAACAAAAACCATTTGGTACGATTGGTCCCTGATTTGACTAACATCTGCCATCAAGATGCAGAAAAATATTACTGTACAGTGATTTATATTTATATATATAGATCTAGAGAATTTACCTGTTTACATACTCATCATCTGGATCCTTCAATTTTGATGTATATAAAAACAATAAATTCTAATTACCATGCATGCAACTCATCATCTGATCATCATTCAGAGTATAAATCGATCGGCTATACTTTGCATCACCTTAACCTGAGTAGCAAGGCATTTTATGTAGTGTGCAGTTTCATCCAACAAGCTGCAAATATGCATCGAATCCCCTCCGGGAACAAGCTTTCGAAGATCATCAGCACGACTGGGCTCTCTTGAGATCACCTGCACCTTATTTTCCTTTCTTAGAACTCTCTTCTTCTTAGAAACCAAGCGTCGCTTTCTCAAACCAGCTCCCTGGATTCTGGCTCGGTATCTAAGCTTAAAAAGTAGGGCTCGGCTCCAAATTTTTCTTGGCCCAACTACACGAGCCATCGATCTATAAGCAGCGGTCTTTATTCTCTGAGCATTCCTTTTCGTGACCTCTTCATTTGATTGGAAACCAGTACTAGTACCAGCACCGAGTCTATCACTCCTTTTAATTTTCAGAAGGGATCTGAGAAATCTACGGGCAAACCTGTTCTTAATAGACCCCGTGTGTGCTGTAGCTGCTGCACGCTCTGAAGTCATGGATGTAAACCGAGTTTCAAGGAAAGAAAAACTGGAGAAAACAGTGAAGGGAATATTAGGGTTTTATAGCAGGAATTTATATGGAAACTATAGCAGCAGGAGTAGTACAGTACTGTGAATGAACTATCCCGTAAAATCCTGGTACTAACTAACTAACTCTGACACAAGTCACTTTATGGGGGTGAAAGAGCGACAAATGAGCATTTGAGATTGGATGTTAGGATTTTCTTCTGACACAAAAGGGGCCTCTTGCTTCCAAGGACAAAAGCCAAAAGTTCCATCTCTGACACTCGCACACAAATCAGCTCTTAATATTCTAAAAAGCCTAGGAAAGAGAGAGAAGGCTTTCTTCCATGGATATGGAGAGCTAATTATGAGATTTTGAGGTGGAGAGGGAGAGAGAGAGAAAGCTAATATGGAAGGAATATTAGATGAGAGTGGAAGGGATTGAATTTGGACGGCTAGAGAGAATTTTAGCCTTTATGTTTTCGGCACCTAAAGGATTTTTTTCAACTATAATTTTTTTATTTCTGGCTCTTAGAGCATTCTTGAAATAGATTCCATCACCCTAATATTAAGTCCTTCTTCCATCAAGCTTTAAATATATCAATTATATTTAAATGGATGTATATACTTGTATATAAGAAAAACTATCCTTCTTATCATATTTTTTAGGATTCAAAACTCTACAATAGCAAAATTAAAATAACAAAATCCATTCAGTATTAATCCAAATCCTTTGTTAAATTTCATTATCAATAAATTTATCATCAAATCAGTTTTCTTGGAATATTAAAAAAATAATATAAATTATATTTTAATATTTCACCTAATAACTTAAGTTATTAAATTTTAATGATTCCTTAACATAATATCAAATCTAATGATTAAGTTGAGAAGATATTTATTAAAAATAATATAAATTAAATCTTTAAATTTTATTTAATAATTTAAATAATTAAATTGAGATAATTTTTCGCATTCAACAACTACACTAAGTTCATATTCTCAATCTTACACGTCCTTATTAATCTATTTACTCCAAAAACAAAAAGTTTTCTACTGACTTCTCACAAACCTTCTTACCAAGTTCATCTTTAGCCATAATAAAAGCGTGCCGTCTGTCTATTTCCATTAGGGGACGTGGGCCTCACGCCATGTCCGCCGTGTCATAAAAACCATGTAAAGATCATGCCGCCCCTGTTGCTTTATATATGAATGGAAACGAAATCCAGCCAGGAGCCCCCACTGTTTGAATCGGGAAGAAGACGTGCCATGTTTCTAGGCCTCTGAGAAACAAGCGTTGAGTGCACTCGCTAACACGAAAGCAAGAAAGAAAGCAAGCAAACAGGCAACTTGTTTTTTTTTTTTTTTTAATTTATTTTGAAGAAAAAGGGTGAAAAAAATTCGCTGTCAAGAAGGAATAGGGCTGGAGAAGTGGTTGGTGGGGCCTCCAAGGGCCAACAACCACATGATCGCACATGGTTCAGTCACCCACTTGTCTAATGGGATTACTTCCTTGTCACTTGACCGATGCATTGCGTTGATAATTTGTCTTAAGCCTTCATCGTCTTCCCCCCTGGTTTTTTTTTTTTAATTTTATTTTTTATTAACCTCATGCTGCTAATAAGCTCGTCTACTGCCCCTGCCTTTCCTCGTAAGACATCTATATCCCGACAGAAACTCTTCGTAACGAGATACACAGGTATCTCGTTATATAGTTGAAAGTACATTTTCAAACTATTTGTTAGTTGTTGATGAGTTGTAGTTCGATTTGAACCGGTGTTCTCTCTGTTTTTCTTATGACATCTCTAGTTTAAATGATCAATCATTTGAAGTTAAAATAATTTTGATTGCTTGCTCTCTAGTACTAGCAGCACTAGCAGTGTAATTACTATATTATTCCTCAGATTTACTCAACTTTTTATTTTCAACAGCACAAATAAAAATAAACAACAAACTAAAATTTGTATGTTATTCTTGATAAAGAGTAGAAATTAACTTCTGTTATTTTACTTAAACTAAAAAGCTTACGAGGACAATTAATTTAAATCTATCTTAAATCTTTACTAGAAAATTAATAAATACAAATAAAAATATCAATAATTTTTTTTTTTAATATATTATAATAATATTTACCAGCTGGATTTTTTTTTTTGCTAAATCTACCGATAAACATAAAAAAAAATATTTTCTTAGTATATATCAAGGGAATTCACAATAAAAAAATAAAAAAAATTAAATAGTTTAATTACATGTATACAAACTATGTTATTGATGAAATTAACCTAATGAAAAAAATTCGTTTTTAATAATGCTAGCAGAAAAGAAACATAATTCTCAAAGTAAAAGACACAATTTTTTATTAAGAGAATAAAAAAATAGAGCAAAATCCATTATTTTCTTTCTTTGATATAATATTTCTAGGTTTATTTCTAATTAATCTACGCGCTCTTGACTACACCATCACCGTGATAGATGGAGTGGATTGGGTGAGTGAGTCTCCTTTTATAATCCCCAAAATACCATTTTTCTTCGTCCAAGGGATTCTTGGCGGCGTTGTTCTCATCTAGGTCGAGTTAGTTTTGTACAGGCTCAAATAGAATCAAAAGGCATAGTTAATTCTCCCTCCGTTTCGTGCTTCTCCCTCTACTTTACAAAGCATATACATAGCATACATGTAATAATCTCTGCTCCAGATATTGTCTACTTGGCCACATGATCTTACGAATCTGGAATTTAACTGTCTGTATGAATTTAAGAATGTCGGAGGATAATTGTCATCTGTGTTATAAAAAATATTCATTGTGGTGTAAACTAATCCAACTATGCTTAAAGCATCCACCCTTCTACCCTACTCTACAATAAAACTCCAAAAGTGCCTCCGTTGTCACATGGACGTGTGAGCTATTGTGAACTTTAAGCTAAATGTCTAATTATGATTTTGATGTTCCGTCAAATAAATTAAATATAATAGTATTATCCGATGTTGGACCATGTTTAAGGCTAAGTGGTAGGTTGGATGGTGAATTCATCAATTGACATATTAACCCGAATCTATCAAGTAGTGATATTGTTTTTATTTTTGTTTTATTTTTGTCTTTGTTTTTAAATAAAATAATATTATTTAAACAAAAAATATTTAAAATTAATTCTATCAGATTTTATTTAGATTTGACCTGATTATGAATTATTTAAACAAAAAATATTTAAAATTAATCCTATCATATTTTATTTAGATTTGACCTCATCGATCTGATTATGAGTTGATTTGTAGAGAAATATGAGTTCGATTAAGTTAATTTTTAATATAGTTTGACAATAAACTCAAATCAGATTAAATTTTATATTGATAAGTTATGAAACTTGATATAACAAGTTGATTTTAATAACTAATGATTTGATACCTTCTTTTTCAATGAATATAGCTTCTAATTCTTCTCTTTTGAAATTTCTCTTTCCTTGCCAAAGCAAACATGATCTGGCGCTACAGCATTGATGTTAGAAACATCATGATCTCCACATATATATAGGTATGTTGATGAGGTAGCATGCCTATCAACATTACCCCATCTCTGTCTCCTGACAATTTTATTTTATCGTGTTGTTAATTTATATTGATGATTAAAAAGAAAATTCTTTGAGGTATGCTATGATAATGGGGGATTTTGGGTTGATGTCGCTAAATTTACATGTAATAAGATCACTTCAGTAGCCCTGTTTGAAAATCAAATGCCATGTTTTCTTACAATAACAAATATTCAAGACAATAGCTATTTCTTCTTCTCTATTTCTAAAGCATTTTGATTTATATATAGAAAACACTTTATGTGCCAACCTAACAATATCACGACGGTTTAAATCTTTTTTAAAATTCTCAAGACAAATTAAACATATTTTACTTCACTTTATATTTATATATATATATATAAAAACAAAACAAAACAAAACTGGGTCGTAATTCAATCATCTGGATCTTAATGTGTATGCTACTAATTGGCCCATGGACTCATTTTATCCTGTATGGCTTGGGCTTCAACTCCTTTTTTTTTTTTTTAAATTAGGCTGCTAACTGAAGTGAAAACGCAGTGCAATAACAGGTCATCCAAGGCAAGTAAGCCAACGGGCCAGGAATTAGCATATATTAGGCCATAGGCCCAGATCCAAAGGTGATATAATGCAAGGAAGAGAGATAAAAACCGTAAAAGCAAACTGCCCAAAAGAACTTATGGATAACAAATACCAATGTTAAAGTACCTTGTATTTGTATTTTAAAAAAATTTAAATTATTTTTTAGAAAAAAAATATTTTTTATAATTTTGGATAATTTTAATATGTTAATATTAAAAATAAATTTTAAACATAAAAAAATTATTTTAACACATTTCCAAACTAATTTTTTTCTAAAAAGTAACTGCTATTATAGTCTAAAACACTACTTTAATTAATAACAGCAGTAGCCTGGAGCACCATAAGCAAATTAATATTGTTAAAAATGGAAAAAGAAGGGATTAAAGTGATAATAAGTTAACTAATTTAGGGGTGAAATAGTAGTTTGGAGTCCTTAGTGACGAGGGATAGAATTCCCAGCAGCAAAATTACCAAGCTACCATTGCACTAATGGTCTAAATAAGAGAGCTTAGAATATAATATATATTATTGCTGAAAAAGACCCATCATTACGAAAGATACATGCACAATTTTTTCCTGTATTTCATTTTCTCTTTTATAACTAGTTGATTTGAACATCAAATAGACTGATGTGCTTCTAATTGCTTTTTAGACTTTTTCCCAGCGTACTTGTATATTTTCTCTTGCACTCTAGTGTAAAGTCATGTCTAACATGTTTGTTTTTGCAATAAAACTAATATATATTTTCAAAAATTTTAAATTAATTTTTGATTGAAATCAAATAAAAAATATTTTAAAAAATAACTGTTATATTAAATATATCACTTTCATACAAAATTCTTTTTCTTATTAGTGTGAAGATATTTTATTTCTTTGGATGAATTTTTTTTTATAATATTACAATGGATTGGAAAGAAAGTTCAATATTATGGTGTGCTTGGCATTTAAATTAATATACTATTTATTTATCATTTGTTAAATTATACAATGGTCACATCACTTAACCATAAATTTTTTTTAATAATGACTCTAAGATTATCAAAATGAAAAAGGAAAAATTAAGTAGAGAAAGATGTCATAATAAAAAATTTTTATCAAAGAATCAATTTATTTCAAAAACTTCAATTATTTGAAGAGTTTTTTAAATATAATTTATATTATTTTTTAATATATTTTTTTAAATAAAAACTTTTTAGACTTGAAATTTATACAAGCTTAATTATTTTATGCTTAATTTTTATTAAATAAATAAAAATAATAAGATTCAAAACTCAAAAATTATATGAAAAAATAAGTTCAACTCAAAAACTCACATAATTTTAAAATATAATTTATATTATTTTCTAATATTTTTTTTAATTGAAATTGTATTACTTGAACATGGAGAATTACATTTGGGCACTTGATTCATGAAC